AATTTTTGTTTATAACAATAAAACTAATAACAAATAAAATAAATAATCTATAAAAATGTGTTGCTCAATGAAAACAGAATGTTATGAACACAACTTTCATATATGTAGTTTGTTTAAAGCATAAATATTAATATATGTGTTTTATGACTGGAGAACCTCCTTAAAATTATTTCCATTACTGTTTACTGAAATACAGATGAATAAATGTTAGAAAACTTGATATTTTGTAAAGAAAACTTGATATTTTTATTTTGACATTTTCATTCAAAGAAAACTCAATTCAAAATTCATTAAAAGATTGTTATTTTAAAATTTAATTCAGTTTAATAAATCTTCTCTCTTTTATATATAATGTACAATAGTTTAATACATATACACGATCATATGAAATTGTATTGCACAAAAGAAAGAAAAAATATTTAGATAGCGTGAAACGCGTTTTCCAAAAGCGAGAGACTGTTGTTCAAAAAGATTTGGAACATTCTGTAATTAGCTGGCAGGCATATGCCTAAGGCCAACGACAGGAACCAGCCGCGAACGCGACCCAGGCGAACGTTAAAATGAGTCTCGAAATGGCAAAGTCGCTCTTCCCCCGTCGCGACCCGCGTTGGCCGGATCAACATATATACGAGCGTCACTTTGTCCCTGACGAAGTTGGCGTTTATGTATGCGAGCAACATCGTCCGGTGGGTTTGGAAGTGCCCGAGGCATTCTGGAACGATGTTGTCGGCCGTGGCCGTTTTGGCCGCGGGGCACTTCGAATACGACAGAGACCGAGGCCCGAGCCGCGTTGGTTCCCCTTATATCGGCTCTCGCCAACTGCTCCATTATTCTCGATGGCCGATGGCCAATCGTATGAACGAGGTACCGATTGTAGTTTTACGAAGACGAAATCTCTGGCCGATGTCGAAAATGTTTCAGTTATTCGACGATAATGTCGATGCACAGATGCGCCGAATTGCTTCCTAAAAACTATTCTTATAAATAACGTTGGAAATCATTTTCGTAAGTAATACGCCGTCACTCTGCGTAGGTACTTTCGGAACATTTTTCGTACTAAATTTCATTGTAATATACTTTTATTGTAGTATAGAGAAAGAAATTTTTCAAAACTTTTCTGTCAAGTTTATCGAACGCGATTATTTCTGTTCATAAATTACACGATATTATCTTTACATTACGTTTTTATATTCAATAGATCGAACTATACCATCGCTCTTATGGCGAGGATAATTCTGATCATCCAAAGAAAAATTTATTACTTTGTATAACGGTCAATGAGAGTGGCAATATTACCTTTAAGGTCGATGATGTGAGTGTGGATGTCATTTGCAAAGATCATAGTGTGTGGTCAAGAGATTTATCAAATATATCTATTCTTGTTCTAGTCCTTATGTAATCGTAAATGTAAATATTAATGATTTTATAATAGGTAAAAGATCCAATGCTTATAAGCAAATCGTTATTTTTTAACACACTTCTTCAAACGTGGACATTTATCAAAATTTTAATTTCTTATGAACTTCTATGTATTTCCATTATTATATTTATATCATTACACAAAGTGAGCCACGGAAACTTGACAATTTTCAAAGTGAAATAATACAAAATATAATTTAAATATTAATTTCTTAATTGTTATATAACAATAGGAAATCAAATGTCATTCAAATATATCTGTATATTTGAATGATGACTATACTCAGCAGAAACAACTCAACGTACGCTGAATGATTCTTTAATGTTTTTTGTCTTTAGTTCGTTGAATTTAATAAGTGTAGAAACTCTCTCGAATCGTAATAAAGAACCACTAAGCGCTCACTGAGTTGTTTTGTTTGCTGAACGCAGTCATTAGATACTCAAATATATTCAGATATATTCAAATGGCGTTTCACTTCCTATTGTTGTATAACAAAAAACCAATATCATAATATATAATATATAATAAGAAATAAATATTTAAGTTATCCCACATTGTTATTTTATTTTGAAAATCGTCAAGTTCTTTCGGATCCATATCTTGCATAATATTACATAACAATTTATCTTAATATAACAATTTATCTTATATAGGATTCATATAATATTGTAATAGATCATAATTATGTAAATATATCATAGATATGTAAATTATCTAATATCTAATAAGATTATGTAAATATATCATGTAAATAAATTTATAAATAAATATGAAATATCGATATAATTTCTATCCGTACACTGAAAAAAAATTACTGAATTTTATTAAATCTTGTATTTATTTGAATAGTATTAACGAAATATTTACTAAATGTAAATATATATATTTATTTAATTTAAGTATAATTTTATTTTAAATAAATGTTTATTTACTGTAAGCAAATATTTCGTTAGTTCAAACAAATATTCAATAAAATTCAGTAAATTTTTTACAATGAAAGGAAACATGTATAGAAATGATCTATGTATAGAAAGCGTACAATCGCTATATCTTACACAAACGGCCAAAATACACTATTGGAAGGGGTTGAAACCGGCGTACGTCAGTGCGGTTCGAATAGAGAGAATCGTCACAAGCTCGAGGCGTTTGCCGAAACGCCGCGAGCTCGTGGGACAAAGACGAGTCGATGTGAGTTGGCGGAAAGGACGAGGACGACGATGGATGACGATGGTCGCTGGTGGCGGACCAGCGGACGATGCGTCTGTACCGATAATGGTGGTGGTAGTGGAGAACGATGGTGGTGGTAGCGCGAGGAAATCAGCGCGAGGATCGTAACAGCGGAGAGTGTACGCAGTCTAACGAAACCCGCGGTGGTGCGCGGTGGTGGCTCGCGCCACTTTTGTCCCTCGGCCGAGAAGACACGTGAATGCAACCACGTGGTTCAGTGCGTGACACGAGAGCTGGAGATATTTACGAGAATTCTGACTGGGTGCTTCGTAGACAGTGACAAGTTTCCGCGAGCGCGACGGGACTCCAGGGTTCTCAAATTCGCAACCGTGGACACGAGAATAACCGTCAACCTGGAGTCCACGTGCCAGAAACGGTGAGTGAGTTATAATGATATATCATGATTTATAATTATTCGATTCGATCGTGAAATATATTGAAACGTACGAGCTACACCATGAGGTTTTTATGTGAATGACATAAACAAGCCTGCATCGTGTAAAGTTTGTTACAATTTATTAGATGAGATCTATTTTCGAATTGTTAAACTATAAAATGTCTCAAATAACTATCAACTAATAAAGCGTCGATATAAATCTACAACGTTGCGTATGAGGAAATGTTGAAGAACAAATTGATCGCGCGATTAACGTAATAACGTGATTAAAATGCCGATGATTGCATCGGCCAGAGTTATGATTGCTTTCTGATATAAACCTTAGACGTGATAATTAAACCTCGAGGATTATTATCATGAGATCGACAAAGACATAACATAACTCGAATCGTTTTGCTCTTTATGTCGTCAAGTATACTCCAGGAATATACATTATCGCCACGTGAATTTATAGAAAGGTTTGTCTCAATTATTTAAGTATTTATGTTACGCGAGTCTCGCTCCGAGAAAACATTCACTTATTACAAGGCTAATTTACACTTCAAAATTTGTACGGTATACTGTTTGTATCTTTCGCTGTTGTTTTACTGATCGTAGTCTTCCGGGTAAAGAAACTACATGTTATCATAATATTGCCGGTACGGAAAGTGTGTGTCTAGAAAAATCTATTTCTCTCGCTTGTTCTCTCGTACAAGATACCTTCGAAACATCGCGTGACAAACTGATATTCATATATGGAAATAGTGTACTTTCACGTAGTTAATTATGTCGCTTGTAACCCGCGAGGCGCGGCCAAGAGCGTTCCGGTGCGGAAAGTTATATCTAACGAAAGTACAGATGATTTTAGTAATAGAAAGAGATATTTCGAATTGGGAATCAAGCGATCTTGCATAATAATTTTGCACACACCGATATAGTTACTCTACCATATTCGCGTTTAATCTATTCTGTATTCATCATTCAATGTTTTGAAGTTGTACGTTGCGAATTGTGTATCTTCTTCATGCTCCTTAGAGATTTCCCTCCAAAGCCTCCTTCTGGAAACTAAGGTTTAAGAGCCTTAATCTTTTAAACGTCCTTGTGTCAGCTTTTAATTGTTCATTGCGATAGTTTCTCTTCGGGAAAGAATACTATAAATCTCTGGATACCAAATAATTACAACGTCCGTGGAGCATTTTATATGATTGAGCTACAGTGAAGTCAATAGAAAGTCAATCTGATCTCACGACGCGGGTAAAGAAAGTTTAATCTGTGCCAGACGTACGAAAGGGTGTCGCTGCCTCCAGAAACGAATATGTAGAAACACGACGGGACAATGCAATTGCTCAATCACTCATCGCATTCCGCCATCATCGAACAATAGTTACAGTCAATTATATACTTCACATCACGAATAATCACATGCGATGCAAAGAGGCTTTGGATAAAGATAGTTACATAAAAGTCGCTACATCATTCCATATCAATTATCCGTTGTACCTAGCCAAAGATAGAAATTATGACTTCACAATGGCCACAAAATTAACGTAGATGAGCACACAAAGAGATTTCATATAAATGATGGTTAAAAAAATTAATTATGTAGAAATTCTTTAATGGAGCTTTACCACTTTTTAATTTTAAAGCTTATATTCTAAAATTAAAATTTTTTTATAATTATATGTTCATAAATTATGTCTGTAATCTAAATTACAATTTAATTCTTTAGTGCGTTTGTGCGAGACTGAGCTGCAAGTTGCAAAACTCGTAACTGACGAATCAGTACTCTTCTCGTCTTGACGCAACGAGCTATAAAATCCGAGGAAAAAATATCAATTAAAAGTTAAATACTTAAAATAATTGGCTACATAATTATGCGCGAAACGTGCAGAAAAAAAGCCGGAGTATAAATATGATATAAATAAAATTAAAAAATTTGATTTTAACACGGTATAATTGTATGATCAATCGAGTAATTAATTGAAAACAAAAATTAAAGTGAATTTGTAGTTTTATAATTAAATAGTTGACATGGAGAACGTGATGTAATTTTTGATCCTATACGCTTTTTTCTTCTGGATTTTATCCTTCACTGGTTTAAGTATCTCAACGCGATTATTACGCATCAATGTACAGTTATATTTAATATTTAGTTTACGATAGAATCTAGTATCACTTAACGAACTTAGAAGATAAGCAATTTCGCACATTAAATCAGCATAATACAAACGGTAATCGTAAAAACATGATTAAGTCCATATAACCATAATTTAATTACGTATAATTTCCATGTAGTAACAAAAAGGAAATTTTAATTGAAATTCTATAAAACTCATGTAGCATTATAATAAACACTCGCCAATTCTGTACATCGCGTAAATCACGAACTCGGCCGTTCTAATGTGGCAAACTTTGTTTGCTTCTCCATAAACGCGCGAATGTATAGGCGCAGAAAAAATAATATTAGATATATATACACACACATATATATGTATATATACATATATATTGCAGCAACTTTTCAAAAATTGGTTGCAACGTAATAGTCGATGTGCACCTCGAGCTATAAAAGAGAGGGGGCGAGGGAAGGAGTGCGCGTAACGCGATGGATGAAGAGAGAACCATAGAACGAGAAAGAGAGAGAGAGAGAGAGAGAGAGAGAGAGAGAGAGAGAGAGAGAGGGAGAGAGAGAGAGAGAGATTGAGAGAGGCAAAGGGCCGCAGGGGGAGGAGGATTGCTGGCATTTCAGAACGGATGTGGGCTCTGTGGAAATTGTGCTGGGATAGGAAAAGGGAGGTTGGAAACCGGCTGGAGGGATGGCCGGGGGCGCAGACGCGCGCTCTGCAGTTGCCGTAATTAGAACCGTGCGCCCCGAGCACATAGCCCGCGGCTGACGAGTCTCCTGCGGACCGAAATTATTCATGAAGCCGCGCCACCCACGGCGAAATTTTCTCGTAAATATTTTGCCTCGTCCGAGATATCGCCCCGAATATACGTGTACGTACGTACGTATGTTTGCGCGAACGACGATCGAACGAACAAATGAACGAATGGATGGACCGACCGTGCGAGTGTGTTCCGATCTACCTTTGGCCCCGTTTGGACCGCCCCAATCGACCACACCGAACCGCCCGCGCCGCATCGTCGCAATTCTCTCACAACCGGTGACCTCTGTCATTATTGCGAAAATCGAAATCGGAAGAAACGATCGTTAACCAGTGGCAAAAGCCGCAAACTGGAATGGCTATTATCGCGCGTTTAACAACCATACGTAGGTATAAGATTTTAATTGTGCGCGTAATAAATCTTGTTTTTTCCTTATATATACGTTATAATGAAGATTGCACGGCAAAAAATTGGTCGTTTTGATTTTACGTTAAATCTTGGATATATAAGTATGTGTCTAATGTGGCAAACATTTTTCATTTAATAGTTGGCGTATAGCTATGTATGATTATTCATAATGCGTCGAAGAAAAAGTAAAATTATGACGTAAGCTATATCAATATCATATACAGAAGTTATACGTTTCACGGGTTATTGTCCGTTCAGATCCATTGTTAGAATGCCATTCTAATAACGGATCTAAACAGGAGATAACCTGTGAAACGCGATAGTTTCTGTATAGAAGATACCAGTGGATGCCTCAAAAGCATAAGCTATATCGATCACATAAAATATATGACTATTTTTACGTCAATATACAAAGTATTTTTTTTAAGTATTTTCAAATTCTATAAACATAATAATCATCATTTAAGAATGAGAATATATCAAAATATATAAAGGGATTAGCACATTTACGATGTGTAAATTAATATCACGTTTTTAAAATAAAAAAATATTGAAATATTTTATACGCTGCATGTACCCATCATGTACACGCGGTATTATTGCGTGGAATATATAAAATTTTTCCAATCGTTGATTATATTAAGCCTGCAATTATATTTTGTATGTAGAACATTTTATGTAAATAAAATATACGCAGAAACCCGAAATATCAACTCTTTCTGAAAATGCGTTATTTATGGATACAGCCTGCAGCGAAAATAAATTCATAACGATATGTAATTACCTTCCATAATTAAATTAATTAAAATACTTAGCAATTACATTATAACGCGCTCGATATTTAATACCGTGGTTATTTTTGCATCGTGCATTTATAGCAAAGAATTAGATAATAAATTGATCAAAGCAATATTTTATAATCCACAAAGTTATTAATAGCTATTATGATCTTCATGAATGCTTCGCAATATACAGTCTTAGCCGAAAATATTAGGCACCTATATTTTTTCATTTATTTGGAATTCTTTTATCTGCATTGTCATCTATTGATTAATAGCATTATACATAAATTTAAAGGTTTCTCGAACAAAGGATAATTTACAATAAATTCCATAAATGATTAAAGTGCCTAATATTTTTGGCCAAGACTGTATGTAATATGCTACGATAAGCTTAAATCTAATCTTTATTTTTTCGTATATTTAACAATTTGTACATTTTGCGTTGTTAAGCAATTATTTGCACAGCAATATGTATTGATAAATATGTGTTATGCAATATGAATATATCGTAAAAAGTATGAGTTATTATATAAATAAACAAAAGAAAAATAAAAAATAAGAGTTAATAAGAGAGAGAGAAATATAAAAATATATTTATATAAAATTTATTTTTATATAAACACATATTTATAAGAAATCATATTTATTAATCTATCAATATTTTAAGAGAAATCTGTTATTCAAATGAGATTCATATTGTCGCATATTACTTGCAGCTAATTATGTGCATAATTATATAAGTGAGAAAACTATCATAAAATTATCATAAAACTAACATAAATATTAGAGGAGAAGGTGATATTATGGCCAGTGCATATATTGTAGCCCCCCTTAATATTTCCGCTATTATATAGCGAATCCTAATGATTACTTATGGAATTATTCCATAAGTTCAGTAGCTCGCCGTTACACTATGACGCTAAT